TCTTTCAAAGGACCTGTAGTAATTCTGAAGTAGTTGGCTATTATTAGCTAGTCACATTGCCTGAATTAATTTACCTAATGGTCAACTGGAAAAATTCTTATGAGGTATAATTGGACTTGGATGGAAAGTAGGGAGAGAGGACAAAGCTCTTTTTTTTTTCCTATTCTGGCCTGCTAAAAACTTATTCCTCCTGCTTGTTGAAGAAGTTTACCTGCTGTATTTCTTATATTCTGTAAAAGACCTTATGGCTTGTATTTATCCAAGAGCTATATGCATTGTTTTCTTTTTCATGTATTTTATGGTGTGGAGATTTTTGGAATTAGAAGAATTAGCCTAGGGAGAAGGAATCAAACAAAGGATCACATAGCACTTGTTTCATATCTGTGCACTGAGTTAGAGCCACGTTTTTGGTGTGCAGGAATCCTGGCAGTTGCTGGGACTTGAGTCTTCCTTCTCGGTCTCCTGGGGTGTTACGTTTGGATACAGCCCAGACTGGAGACTGCCAGAGCCAAGATGAGAAAAAGGAGTGATGCTCCTACCTCTCTCAATTCCTCTAAGGAACACCAGCCACCTACAAGTCCCTGCAGCTATTCTGCAAGGTTTGGGTCATGTAGTTCAAGGAGCAAAGGAAAATTACTTGAGTGGTGACCTGAATTTGAAATTATAGAGTTCTGCATGATGTTCAGGTTTATTTTAAAGAGTATTAAAATCAAGATACACTGTTCTATTTTTCCATTTCTTCATTCCCACATCAAGACCAGACTATTAATGAGAGCTAGAGTGGAAAGATTATGAACTCCACAAGATAACTTGTGTTACCTTTTCACCTCCTTGGGTAGTTAAAAGGAGTTATTTTTCTTTAATCTCTGCTCTTGTTATAGAGCAGTTTTCTTCTCTCGGAAAACATTGTCCTTGTCCTTTTCCTTTTCCTTTCCTTACTTTTTTCCCCTCTTTCTGTTTTTCTTCATAGTAACCATGTTGAGCAGTACCAGGGGATTTTTTTTTTTGGTAACTCCTGCCCAAACGTTTTAAAATCAAGCAGAAGTAATCACAACCTTTCTCTTCACTTGAAACCATAACATTTTTTGACAAGAAGTGCCTTTAAAGAAATGCCTCTTAATTTACAGCGGGTTGCTTTGTACTTTGTTTCTGTAACCTATCTCATTACATTTCCTGTGTGTTAAGTATGTATGTGTTATGAGCTCTTAAAAACAAATATCCCAGAAGAAAGGAATTTAGTAAATGAACAAAACATTCTTGGGTAGTCCAAGTGGCAGTTTAATAGCTCATCCGTCAGAACTTTCATAAAATATAATGATGATAACCATATAAATATATGGATAGATGAATAAGTTCAATGAGGAGATTGCTACAACTCTGCATACCACATCTGAAATGAAATCAAACTCTGAAAGTGCTGCCTGATGTGAAGGTCCAATTTTTCCAGTGCCAACCATGAAATTCTACCTAAAAATAGAAAACCGTGTTTCTGTGTCTGCATGTGTATACATAACTAAAACATGCATACAATAACACATGTATACAAATGTTGTTTCTAGGTGGAATTTACTGTTTCAGGACTGATCTTGATTGCACTGACCCTCTAAAACCCTAGACTATTGACATGACTGGATTTGCAGCAGTATATTTGAGATTAGGTCTTAGTCCTGGCTTTCTCTGAAAATAAAAAGATAAATGGAATAGGAGTGTAAGGTTGCCTGGGATATACATAACTTTTTCATTAAGTTCACCTAGTCACAGAGCTTTGTAAATATCTACTTCGATGCCCATCTGTCGCGGCAGAGTTTGTAACCTTGAGTGTGGCAAACCTGAAAGGAAAGTTTTAAATAATTTTTTTTGTTGTGATGAATTTTGCAGGGAAACTGATTTCCAGTTATGGTGGACTTGGAAACTCGATGTTGATGACCATGAAAGATGGAGGGAAATCAGCTCATGCTGAACTATGGACAGGAGAAACTAGACCACCAAATGAGACATAAATAGGATAAGACAATTCAGTTCCTTACTCCAAAGAATAAGAAAATTAATTCATTCAGTGAAGTTGCTGAACTGTTGTGATAAAAGTCTAAGTGCTCATAGGAAACATAACATCAGTCTCTGTTGTAAGCCAGCAAAAATTCACTTGCTCTTAGCAGTGGGGAGAGGCTGCTATTGTAGTATAGATGAAGGATGCTGAAGTGCTCTTGGTGAAAGGCAGAGATACAGTGATTTGTCTGTTGAGTGTTTCGATAATGGCACATCACAGAAGAGGTCCAGCCCTTTATTTTTTCATGAGTTGTATCTCTCTCATTAGAATTTCTCGTTCCTGTTGCCTAGCTTTTCTTTGGCAGCGTACTGTATATTGTACATATATATATATATATAAAATATAGCCAGCATCATCTTCCACACTAGTCTGAAGCAGCAACTTTAAGTGTCAGTACTCAAAGTGATCACATAAAGCCCCATGAAAATGAGGGACTTTGATATTTTCGCACTGGTGGATTAAATTGATGAATGATTGTTGTGCTTAGAAATAAGATGCTACTGCTGATCTTTTAGCTGAATGAAATGGCAAAAACAATAAAATAATATTTCCCAGCTGAACTAGAAAAATTCCATCCTGGGTCTCCTGGGGGTCAACCTGAGCACAGAGAGAGCATGGGGAGACCTGGTCTCTCATGTATCCAAAGCATACTGGAAAATTGTGCCTTTTTGATGTATAAACTATATGGGACACGATGTTAATCATAGGACTCCCATGATATGTACACAATAATTGAGTGGGCGTATTCAGAAAAGGAACTGCCACATGGAGTTCTGTGGGGATTTGCCTGCTACTGGGGAATGTAAGTTCATTAGGTGATACTCTTACTCTTCTTAAAGAGTTTTTTTTTTTTGTTGGTTGGTTGGTTGTTTTTTTGTTGGTTTTTTTTTTTAATAGAAAATAAAATGAAAAGGAAACAAAGCAGGGGGGGAGAATGTGTAAATGCATGTGAAAATAAGTGTATTGAAATATGAGTGCATTGACAAACACTTGGGAGAATTGATCAAACTGATCAATTTGTTAAGCAATGGGTTATAGACTGTGGGATGAGGAAGCCAGGCGTTATGTGTGGACATTACAACATCAGTGCAATACATTGATCGTCGTTGGTACTAAAACTGCAGTAATCATTCCATTATATTGGAGGTGACAACTAACATGAATTCATATTCCAGAACTTGCATGCAATTTGTAAGTCTCCTTGGGGATGTTGAAATCATGTTGGAAGTTTAAATTAACCTCTGCCGTTATCAGCAGCTTTTCCCTTTCCTTTTTCATTCTGTATTCTAGCTTGGAGAAAACTACGTTTTCAAGCAGCTTTTAAATGACAATGAGAACAACGTGTGTCTGCAGTGGGTCTTTCAATAACTGCCTTTTAAAATTGATTTTTATGATTTTCACAAGTAGCAGTGTATGTACTCTGTAACAAAGAAACTTATTCACACTGCCTCACTGTGAGCACCTGCCTAGTTTCCTCAGGCTCCTTTCCTCTCCTTTCAGTGGGAAGCGATTAGCAGGACCTGACTCCCAGCTTCTGCAGCACCCTCCAGCAGCCAGTGTCTCCACTTACTCTGTCTCCGTTTAACCTTGCAATTTAAATCCTTGGTGCAAGGCGCTGGGGCTGTTCCACAACAGCACTGTGTGGAGGAACTCCAAGTCTTACCCACATGCTGCTTATTAATTGCAGTTGAATATTTACATTTATAATGAGCCTTTTGAAATCAGTAGGAAGGCGCTCAGTGCTTTGAAATGGCTTGAGTGTGGCAGACCGGGTTAAGACAGACCAATGGTGATGGAGATGTGTGCTTTATTTGTAGCCAAATTCTGCTGTGGGTTACCAAAGTGAAATGTGCTGTAAGCTGGAATTCAGTCCATCTGAGGAAGGATCATTTACACCTTTACTGGTCGAGGTGGCCCGTTGGCAGCAGGACAGACAGTAGGTGGGAACGGGTCTTCAGCTTTCTTTGGTTGGGATGGTAGTGGTACCCAGCATTTATTGGACTTACAGAAAAAAAAATGTTCGTCCGTGCCCTCATTTAGGGTATGTTAGCCAGTGCATTCGGTGACCATAATCACAGGTGCGTTGGGCTACATATGCAAGAGCAGCATTACGTACGGGCTATCTCAGATGTGCTGTTTTCTTAACCTGAATCTTCACCTGGAAGCTTCATTGAGCAGTTTTATTTTCTTCGTTGTATTTTGCCTGTTTTCAATATCTGGATATGTGTTTGCATGTGTATATGTATATGTGTATGCAATTGCATTTAATTAGCTATAATTCTTCCTTAATTTTGGTTTTTCTGAAGGTATCTGTATTTAAAGCAATGGCTGCATAGTGACTTTTTTATTCTACTTGTTCTTAATGGCTCAAATTTCATCAAACATTCGTAGCTTCCCATAAAAAAAAAGGGTAACATTTGACAGGCGACTTACATATGAAAATCCTGTCTCCTTTCCAAACATTAGGACTGAAAACGAGTTCTCCAATATGCTCTGAAAACAAAACAAATAAATTTAGGCTTAATTGGAGCTTCTGATAAATAAAAACCATAATTTCTGTATGTGTTTCATCCTTTTCTATAAACTTAAATGTGTGTGTCTGATTCAAATTTTTTTTCACTCTGATTATTCTGAATTGTGTGCATATGTGTATAGATATGATAGGGTCTCACAGAGGTTTTTTATGTTAAAGAAGTGTACATACGTACATACATGTAGTTAAATATATGTGCATGTATGTGTACATACATGCATATATACTGTGCACACATGTGTAAAAATAACCAAAACTGGTTTGGTTGTATATGTGTGTATAGTGCTCTCTCTTTCTATTATGTTTTCCATAAATGTATGGTGAATAAATATTTTTATTTTAATTATAAATTTACACTCACTTCACAGTACAGGTTTTATCTCTTGATCAACTAGTTCCTGTTTTCTCTCTCTGCCACAGGGTGAAAGAATGATGTGATGGAGGTGAATATGGGCCGCTGGTCAGGCTCACGACTACCTCTGTCATGCCTTACCCTTCTGATTGTCAAGTTCCTGGCCTCCATTTGCCAGGTAGTTCACGGGACCGCCCCGCTTGGCTTTCACTTCACACATTCCACTTACAATGCTACAGTGTACGAGAATTCTGCAGCCAGGACCTATGTCAACAGTCAGACGAGAATGGGCATTACCTTGGCTGACCTCTCATGGGATATCAAGTACAGGATAGTGTCTGGTGATGATGAGGGTTTTTTTAAAGCAGAGGAAGTCATCATTGCTGACTTTTGCTTCCTCAGAATAAGGACTAAAGGTGGGAATTCTGCTATATTGAACAGAGAAATCCAGGACAACTATTTATTGATGGTAAAAGGGTCTGTCAGAGGAGAGGACTTGGAAGCATGGACAAAAGTGAACATCCAGGTTTTGGATATGAATGACCTAAGACCTTTGTTTTCACCAACCACTTACTCCGTCACGATAGCAGAAAGCACTCCTCTAAGGACTAGCATTGCACAGGTGACCGCAACAGATGCGGATATTGGGTCCAATGGTGAATTTTATTATTACTTCAAAAATAAAGTTGATCTCTTCTCAGTTCATCCTACGAGTGGTGTTATCTCCTTAAGTGGCCGGTTAAACTACGATGAGAAAAACAGATACGATCTTGAGATTTTGGCAGTGGACCGTGGGATGAAGCTTTATGGAAACAATGGTGTAAGCAGCACTGCCAAGCTTTATGTTCACATTGAACGTATCAATGAACATGCCCCAACAATAAACGTAGTAACCCATATTCCCTTCCCGTCAGACAAGGAACCTACCTATGCAGTTGTTAACATTGATGACCTAGATGAAGGAGCCAATGGAGAAATAGAATCTGTTTCTATTGTGGCTGGAGATCCACTAGAACAGTTCTTTCTGACTAAAGAAGGTAAATGGATGAATGAGTACAAAATCAAAGAGAGAAAGCCTATTGATTGGGACAGCTTCCCGTATGGTTACAACCTGACTCTCCAAGCAAAGGACAAAGGATCTCCTCAGAAATTTTCAGCGGTCAAACTAGTCCACATTGCTAGTCCCAAGAAAGAAAGTATCCCCATAAAGTTTGAAAAGGAAGCGTATGATGTTTTGATCAGTGAATTTTCACCTCCTGGAGTGGTGGTTGCAGTAGTTAAGCTGATGCCTGAGCCACAGGGTGTGGAATACAGAATACTTCCAAGTGAAGAAGCTGAGTATTTTAAGATCAATCCCAAGACAGGCCTTATTACTACTGCTCGTCCTTTGAAAATCATTGAGAAGGACCTCTATGAATTAGAAGTATATACGAGCAAAGGTGGTGATTTAAAAGCATGGGTTACTGTCAGGTTAGAAGATGCCAACGATCACACTCCGGAGTTCCAGCAGCTCTCCTACAGCTCATTTGTCAATGAAAGTGTCCCTGTGGGATCTAGCGTTTTGGCAGTTTCAGCAGTTGATAAAGACAGGGGAGAAAATGGATACATAACATACAGTATTGCCAGTCTGAACTCACTACCTTTTACAATAAACCAGTTTACAGGTGTTATCAGCACATCTGAAGAACTGGATTTTGAGTCCTCACCAGAAAGCTACAGGTTCATTGTGAGGGCTTCTGACTGGGGTTCTCCCTACCGCCATGAAAGTGAGGTGAATGTCACCATATACATAGGCAATGTCAATGATAACAAACCCCTCTTTGAAAAAGTAGCCTGTCAGGGAGTGATTTCTTCTGATTTTCCTGTTGGTGGTCACATCACTGCTGTTTCTGCAATAGACATAGATGAGTTAGAGCTGGTAAAGTACAAAATAATCTCTGGAAATGAACTTGGCATTTTTTACTTAAATCCAGACTCTGGTGTCCTGCAACTTAAAAAATCTCTAATTAATTCTGGCATAAAGAACAGCAATTTTGGTCTTAAGATAACAGCAACTGATGGAGAGAACTTTGCTGATGCTATGTTTGTTAATATTTCAGTAGTTCATGGCAAAGTGTCCTCAAAGACCTTTAGCTGTAGAGAAACCAGAGTTGCTCAGAAGCTAGCAGAAAAATTACTCAAAAAGGCAAAAGCAAATGTGAAGCTGAATTTGGAAGATGGTTTTCTCGATTTTTATTCAGTAAACAGGCAGGCACCACATTTCGACAAATCCTTCCCTACTGATGTAAGGGTTTCAGAGGATCTGCCAATTGGTGCCACCATCCTGAGGATAAAAGCCTACGATGCAGACTCGGGCTTTAATGGAAGAGTGCTTTATACAATTTCTGATGGTAATGTGGATAGTTGTTTCAACATTGACATGGAGATGGGAATACTTAATGTTCTCATGCCCTTGGACCGTGAAAAAAGAGAGCTCTATATTCTTAATATTACCATTTATGATTTAGGTCATCCACAGAAATCTGCATGGAGACTGTTGACTGTCACCGTGGAGGATGCAAATGATAACAAGCCTGTTTTTTTACAGGACAGTTACTCAGTTAATATTTTAGAAAGTACAAGTCTTGGTACAGAGATTATCCAGGTAGAAGCCAGGGATAAAGACCTGGGATCTAATGGTGAAGTAACTTACTCAGTACTGACGGACATCCAGCAATTTGCTATCAACAGTTCCACAGGAATGGTGTATGTGGCAGATCAGCTAGACCGGGAAGCAAAAGCAAACTACACACTGAAGATTGAGGCTAGGGACAAAGCAGAGAGTGGCCACCAGCAGTTTTCTGTTGTGCCGCTGAAGGTTTTTCTGGATGATGTTAACGATTGCTCTCCAACCTTTATACCATCCAACTACAATGTGAAGGTCCTTGAGGACCTGCCGGTTGGCACTGTCATAGCTTGGTTGGAAACTCATGATCCAGATCTGGGCTTGGGAGGCCAAGTCCGTTACTCGCTGGTGAATGATTACAATGGGAGGTTTGAGATAGACAAAGCGAGTGGCGCCATCCGCTTGAACAAAGAGCTCGATTATGAGAAGCAGCAGTTCTACAACCTGACCGTCCGCGCAAAGGACAAGGGACGCCCGGTTTCTCTCTCTTCTGTTTCTTTTGTGGAAGTTGAAGTGGTGGATGTTAACGAAAATCTTTATACCCCGTATTTTCCTGACTTTGCCGTCAATGGATCTGTAAAGGAAAACTCCCGCATTGGTACAAGTGTTTTGCAAGTTGTTGCTCGAGATGAGGACTCTGGAAGAGATGGAGAGATCCAGTATTCCATCAGGGATGGCAGTGGCCTGGGGAGATTCAGCATAGATGAAGAAACTGGTGAGTTTTGTTGGTAATTTTCATTTTTCTTCATAGAGGATTTTTGCAAAAGCAAAGCTGAGGCATAATTGTTTTCAACTCTTAACAAGAAGTTCAGTTCTTCTTATAGACAAGACAGAATTATAAATAAGCATTTTTCAGGTACAGCAATGACATGATTTAATTACCTGGGTACGCTTATCATTCTGTGGGTGTGAAATAATACATATTTCCTTTCAGCAGCTGTGTGATGACTCCATTTAGGAAACAGTGATAGTTGCAGAATAACTCGCTCTCAGTGACTGTATTATCTGTTGATCATTATAAATTACTCAGGTCACCTCCACAGAGTCACAACACTTGTGACTTTGAATCCAGTGTTAAACCCAATGAAAGGAAATAAGGAGCATGAAACAAGAACTGTTTTGTCCTAAAACCTCTTTGTGGTCTTGTTCTTGTTGTTGGGAGTCATTTTTTCATAAGAGTTAGACTGGAATGATATGTCATTCTTTGTAGCATGGTGTTTATCAGCACTGGTGTGCTTCTGTAAAGATAGAAATCAAGGGAAGGATTCATAACTGTAAATGAACTGTGCTAGCTTTCCTTTAGTGTTGGTAGTATTAAGAACCCTATTGGAAAATGTTGAAAATACTAAATATAAAAGTATAAGATATCTAGTAAAAAACGTAACATACTGGCTGCTTAAATGTCAGATGGTTGTTGTTAGTAATGGTGCGGCTGTGCACCACTAGAAGTAGTGAGGGAATTAGAAAATATTAGTCAACAGTTTCAAAAAATGTATTTAATATGTTAGGTCTGTGGGCTTACTGTGGTTTCAGCAGACTTTGAATGTCTTTTTCTAAAGCTTTTAATTGAGAATGTGGTATTAAACATAAGATTAAAATGTATGTTTTGGCAAATTCAAACTGTTTAATCAAATGTCAACTTTCTAAACTGAACATTATGAAAAACAGATGACATTACAAATGCTGTGGCTCGCATCTAAGCGTAAGCATAAGCAGTGAAAAATATTTTTATTCTATTTGTGTTAGAGTCTCTCTGCTACAGCTGTGCACAGATGAAGCAGTCAAAACCTTATGTCCAGAAACATCAAACTTGAGTGTCAGAAGCCAAGACGACATCTACCCCTAATTTCCAGGAATGTAAAGAACTCACATGTCCTACAGTAGTAATAGCAAGTAAAGGCATTCAGGCAACATTATTTAGGCAACTGAATATGGATTTCAATTTTAAGCTCCTGCATTTGAAAATTTTGTCCTACTGCTTATTGAGTAACATCAACTTGATCTAAATGGGTTCTTTATCAAGCAGTGGGAGGTTGATCCAAATGCTGCAGTACTGATTTGGAAATCTCAGGATTCAACATTTATTGAACTTATAGGAACTGGTAGGGTGAGTAACAGTGCATTTCACTCATTAGTAAAATAACCAGTTTTTTTATCCTATGCCTAGACTAGTAGAGGTGATAGCCAAGAATAAGTTAGGGCTCTCGTTCAGTAAAGGACAAATCATGTTTTGAAGTGCGTGGGAAGTGTACTCAATATTTTACATTAAACATATTTAGTTTTTTTCCCCAAAATTTAAATCTATTTTGTGAAGGGAAAAGAGTCGAAAACCTCCCAAGATGCAAATATTTGTCTACCTTTCACTCTTTCACAAGTGTTACATGAAAATGAACCAACCTGTGCTATTTCACTAAATTGTTCCAGAAGAGACTTGATAATCCAGCAGAACAAAAAGTTTCGGATTATTATTCTGTTTTCCCCAAATGTTCAATACACTGGAAGCCTTAGTAAAAGCAAATTAGAGAACACTTTGCAGAGTTGCAGCCAGGGCAATGTGGAGAGCAGGGCTTGGGGGCTCGGGAGTTACTCTAGGTCATTCTGTTGTAAGCTGAATGCAGAATTTGACCTTCTGTGTCAAATAGAACACAACATTAATACCCTGCAATTGAACTGGTGGCAACTTAAATGCTGCTGAATGATGAATCAGCTTTCTAGCTGTAGAAAAGGGCTCAAGTCACATATTGAATTAATTTATAAAGAGATAGCCGTTTATTTACTTCCAGCACAGTTCATTTGTCACTTTTAAACTGACCGACTCTATTTGCTTATGTACTGTCTCCCCTGAAATTTGTGAAGGTAAGCGGAAGCATGAAGTACAACAAATCAATATTTTTGGCTGCTACCTTAATGAAAAGACGACTGCTGCATCCATTATAATCATTAGGATGTAAACTGGGCCAAATTCATCCTGATATGTGAGCAGGCTGGACTGGAAGCAAGTCTTTGCTTTCAGCAAAACTCTGCTGAAGTGCTGAGTGAGATGTGCTTGTGCTCCCTGAGGCACCTTGATACCAAAGAGAGGAAGTGATGCAGATACCTGAGGAGAAGCAGGCCTGCGTGGTGAATCCACACTGCACCATGCTACCACACATTTAATGTCATGATAGCTTCTTCTTGTTCCACTGTAGATGTATAGAGGTGCATCTGAAAAAGAGGAGGCTCAGGGGAGGTCTTCTCCCTCCCTACAGTTACCTGAAAGGCAGTATCCAAGTAATAAGTGGCAGGGCAAGAGGAAGTGTCCAGGGGAGGTTTAGATTGGGTATTAGAAAAAAGATTATTTACAGAAAGAGTTGTCAGGCATTGGAACAGGCTGCTTGGGGATCTGGTGGAATCACAGTCCTTGGAAGTGGTCAAAAAAAGTGTAAATGTTGCACTTGGGGACATGGCTTAGTGATAGACTTGGCAGTGCTGGGTTATCGGTTGGACTTGATGATCTTAGAGGTCTTTTCCAAATTAAATGATTCTGTGATTCTATGATCTAGCTCCACCAAGCTTGATCTGACTTTTGATGGAGGTTACACAACAGGCTGTTCTCCATTCAGGTCGGAACAGTGGCTCGTGGTCAGCAAACTTGGGAATCTCCTCCATACTGATCAATGTGGATCCCTCTGCATAGTGTATATGTGCAAATCTGTGTGCTGCTGCAGTTTGATGAGATGTGCCATGGGAGTGAGCCTGGGATTCCCTTCCTACAGTGTTGCTCATTGCCTCATGTCATGTAGAATCGATTTGGAAGATTCAGCATCCATTGCTGAATACTCCAGTTCATAGGTGAAGTAGATGGCTACAATTCCTGGTTTCCCACTAGTACCTTAACCAGATGATTATATTTTTCATGGGTTTAGAAGTCAGTTCATGACTCATAGCTAAAAATCTGGTTTAAGAGTTTTCTAGAGGCTAAAAACAAAAAAAAAAAGAAAAAAAGAAGGAACTTTTTTATTAAAAGAGAACTCTTATTTGTTGATTCCTGCCTCAATAGATATTGAGTTTGTCACCATCTAGGGGTACGGTTTAAAATCATTGATTTTCTATCTTCATTGGCCTGTTTATTGACTGTTAATATAAATGTCACAAGCTTGTCATGTAAGAACCCTGCACCCAGGAACACATAATGTGGTCCTTCCATTTATGATTTCTCATCTTCCTGCTGTCTCCTGTTTAGAACCACTTTCTTCTTCTTTTTTTCTTTTTTTTTTTTTTTTTTTTTTTGCATCACTGTCATTCTTTTGGACTCCAGAGGTGTAATCTGTTATGAAATGTGGTCATCTACAATGAGAACTAGTCACTTCAGACTTCTAGTCAACAGAAGGAAATGGAGAACTGCAAAACATGGTTCATTTTATCTCATATAAAAATATGAGATAAGTTGGATGAATCATACTCTAAAAATGTACAAAGGCCCTTGTGTGACTAGCTCAGGTAGAGGTCTCACTGATTGCCTTGCTTTGGCCAGACATAACCCATCCCTGTTAACTGTAAACCAACTGTAAACAAGAATATATACTGTCAGATTTACATGCTGGGAAATTTGTGATGACTCCTCTCTAAAAGAGTCATGTTTTCAGTCTAATTTAAGGGAATTATCTTTCAATATGAAACCCATATATAAGTACATTTCTAGAAATAAAAAGTTGAAAAAAGTTTTTAATAGTATAGGGGATGAGACTTAATGTAAATAATACTTTATGATTTTTCATTTTCTGAGAATACAGTGTTAGAGCATCTCGCCCTCTTTTCTGTCTATGGAAATTTGTCAGTATCTGCTGTTTTGACCTTTCTTGGGGAGTGGTAACCTTCCCCTTGTGCAACTCTGGGGTTACAGAGAAGCTTGAGCTTCATCTTTAGTACTGCTTCCCACCCGATATGCACCTCCACTCACTTCGCCAGTCTGCTGATTGCAGTTCCTTAGAAGAAAATTCTGCAAAACGCCCTCTGTATTTCCAGATTGTTGTAACACAAAATGAGCAGAGATCTTTTAAAAATTGTTATGGAATGACAGTGTGCTTGAGTTTCCATTATAGGGTTAGCTCTAATAGTTATGACTACTCTTCTGGAAATGGTGTATGTCAAATGTCCTACACTGCTTTATTAAAAACCTGGGTTTTCTCAGCTCTGGTGTGTACACCCTTACAGTGCTGATACCACAGCAAAGTGGTGTATTTTTTGCTGTCTCGGGAGCTGGTGGTGAGTTCAACAAATGCATATGGGTTTATGATATCACCTGCCTTGGGGGACTTAGTACCATCTGTCAGAACCTCTTTTCTGGCAGCAGTGGAGATTTGGACAATTATTGAGACTTCCTGGCTTCTTGAAAGGTTGAGCTAGATGAGATAGGTCCTAGCCTAAATACTGGAATCTTCCTTCTCATTTTTTAATAATTTGTGAAAAACAGTGTTTTTTACTCTAGCTCCTCTTCTTAGTCTGGCACGTTGATGTAACAGGAGTTTTTATATTTACCCCTACGCAACCCATGGGTGTACTAGTAATAGCAAATGAACAAAATGAATTCTAGAGGAACAGAGTGATCAGACACACTCGGCATCTTCTGCTGCAGAGGCTTATGTAGGCTTTATCAGAGTTGGTGTGGCAGCGCCCTGGTATGTGAGGAAGGAGTAACTCCACCTGGGAGTTCCTCAGTGGGAAAACTGAAGCAAT